GTTCTTGAATCAGCATAATTATCTTCAATCTAGCCGTTGAAAATCAAGAGATTGATTTTTCCTTACTAACGGGTAGAATTTCTTCATTCAAGACTTAGATAATTATCTAAGTCCTTTCTCACTTGTCCGTTTTCTGAGAATTCCGGTCTTCCTTGAGGCATCCGGTTCTTCGCTGACAAATCCGGAGAAGTCATTCTCAGACTTCCGGGTGAGAGAGAGATCCGCGCTAGTCTTCCGATTTGGGTGACTTAGCTTTCAGCGGGTTGTAGCGAGACATCCGGTTCTTATGTAGTCTTCCGGAACAGAGGATTTTCATCCGCTTGAGAAATCCTTACTTGTCTCTAGCTTTTCCGATTAAGATATCCAATTTCCATATCACTGAATTTGATTAAGTCTTCAGGCATCAAAACGCTTAAAGAAATATCACAACCTTAATGGAAAACTCAAGAACTTGGTTTTAACAATATTTCTAAAAAGAAAAATTACATTGAATATTGGGGGAGACCTAAAGTCCCTATTACATTCTAAATACATCATCATCAAAATCTATGATATTCTTCCCAACACATACCAACCTACTCATGAAATCGAATTATATAATTCAACAACAACTTGCTCAATAATTGAAGAAAAACTAGTTTGAATCAACTCTCATTCATAAGGGATTTAATATAAACATTAAAAAAACATAAAAGAATACCAACCATTTTTTTAGAATATTTTAAACAAACTAACAAACAAAAAAAGTATAAAATTGAATAAAAAAAACTTTTACATATAATTGGAAAGAAATTGAACAAAAAACATACTCCCTCCGTCACAATTTATTTGCAACACTTCGAACGACGTGCAAAATATCATATCTTTTAAAATCACTTTAATTTCAAATTGGTAGAGTAATAAAAAATAAAAATTACATCATTCAAAAATATATGAAAAGTTCTATAAACAAGATGCGACAAGAATATTTTATTTTATTAAATGGTCAACCAAAACGAGTAAACAAACAAAAGTTATCGAGAGACCAGAATAGTAACTGTGGCATTCTTTCTAGGACGGAGGGAGTATAAGGTTACCCATTATTGAAAAAGAAGATGAAATTGAAGAATTGGAGTTGTGATGGAGACTTCCGGAGCTGTCTGACCATTTCCAGAATGACCACGCCAGATTCCACCACCGCCGCGGCCGCGGCCGCGGCTTGAGCCACGGCTCTCTAGTTCTGTCGTCTGTATTCTCCCCCGCCTCGTTCGTGAGTAGCGGCCTCCAAATTTATAGCAATAAAAGTTCTTTCCCGTTGGAGCGTTTCGGCGAGATTGGCGGAAGAACGTTGGAACGCTGGTTTTTTTCTTCCGTTTGACGAAGAAGAATGCCGCTAGTTCACTCTTCCTTTCTTTCGTGCGTGCGTGAGATTGAATTGGGGAAAGAGAATGATGGGCTGGCCTTCTTTTGTTGGTTTAATGATGGGTTTGGCCCAAATTCAATCTCTTTTATCCATGCTTGATCTTCAATTTAGCCTTTTGCTACACTTTATACCAAAAAATAAGATATCTGATAACTTGGGTTAGGAAAAATAAAATAAAGAAAATAATAAAATATAAAAAAATGATTAAAAAAACTACTATTTGTGCAAGAAATTCAAAAGATTGTGAAAATTAAAATTAAAATAAAACTAAGCAAAATAACTAAAAATTAAACTCTAAAAATATTAAAAATGCCTAAAAAGAATAAAAATAACTAACACAAACCCGACTTATCACTAAGGTAACGAGAGCATAGTATCTTATATATTATTGATATTGTTTATGAATTGAGTTCTTATGTTACTAATCATGATGAACTCGTATGCATGATATCGTTTGATGTAATGAAGTAGTTAGGTCATCTATATGCATAATTGAATGTTATATATTTCTCACTTAGCTTCAACACTGAGCGTGTAGCATTTGTTCTTTTGTTATACGTAGGTTACCAAGATCACGATGAACCTGAAACCAATCCCGGAGGATGTTGAGGGCAAAGAGATGTGCCTGGATGCCTTCGAGGATTATTACATTATTATTTGTCGTTTAATAACTTATTACTTCAATGGGCTTGAACCCCAAGTTTTGTTTTGCATAATGACTTACGCTTCTGCACTGTTTTTTTAATTACTCCGATGAATGCTTGAAATTGTACTTGAAGTATTTATCTTGAATTGTTTGAAAATGAGTTGTGTTTGGATACCAAGTTAGTAGCAACTCGGTTCACTGACCTTTGTATTCCGGTTATGCGGGTTGGAGTGTTACATTTTGGTATCGGAGCACATGGTTTTAAAACTGATCTTCGGATCACAAAGAAACAATTTTCCACAAGTTGCACCACATCTCTTGCGGCTCTTCGATCCCGGGAAGGTAACAAATTTCTATTTTTGTATGTTATGTGTTTTTAGCTGAATGGGAAATTTATGTTTATAGAATGCATCAAACATTGACACAGGGTCATGGTAACTCACAACGCGACAACAACGAGCACGTCGACGCCTAATCCGAAACGTCTAGCTTTGTCCCGCAACAGAATCCCGAACAATCGAACACTTCCCTGAATCCGAGAGTTAATTACAACAACACCAACCAGCCCAAAGTCGTTATGCCTATCTTCACAGTACAATTCCTGTAATAGATGGCGAACGCTCCAATGTTTCACCCCCCCTCCTCCACGACAAACACGGAAAATAACCTTGAAGTACAACGGAGTAGAGGAATTCCTTTGGGACCGAATTTTTGAGCCCTAAGTCGCACTGGATTGGATTGGCCAGGTCACCAAAGTGCTGAAAGACCTGAATGTCCTGATAATGGATCACTCGAGGCTCGCGTCTCAGCTGCTCCGGAAGGGAGCATACAAATGGTGAAAGCGTGTCGATAGTGACAAGAAGACGCTGAAGCCTTGGACTCGGGCCTATTTTGATTGGGCCTTCAAGAAGGAACACATATTAGCTCGCTTCCGAGAGGAAAGGCGTACAAAATTCATGGAGCTATAGCGGGGAGAAATGACCCTTGCCAAGATACGCCAAAGGTTCGACCATTTGGTGTAGTTTGCACCAACGCTGGTGTCTACACCAGCAAACCTCATTGAGGAGTTCAGAAAGAGGTTGCATCAAGACATCCTCACGTACGTGTCTCTCTTGACCACGATGAATTTCTCTTGTGCCTATGACCTTATGGCTAAGGTTGAGAAGGACGTCGACGACTACAAGGCAAGTCTAGGAACAAGAGAGGGTAGACCGAATAACAGTCCCACAATTAGTGCAGCACTAAGTGCATCCCATTGAGGTAAGAGGTCGTTTGGGGGTGCCAAGGATGCCCCAAGTTCTAAGAAGACCAAATCTGCATCAGCTCAGTCTCAAGCGACGAGCAACAAATCTAAACCCTCAAGGTATCCCATTTGCAATCTATGTGGGGGGAACCATCCGTGAGAGTTTTGGTTCATGCAGGATTTATGACTAGTTTGTGCAAAGGCGGGGCACTTCTGTAAGGATTTTCCTACTAATGATTGAGTTTTTCGGTAAGTCAACCTTCCCAATGAAGGGTTAGTTTTCTCCGAGTGTCGTGTCTCTCGAGGAGTGGACGAAGGAAATTAGCTAATTTTTCTAACTAGACGAAGGTTAGGACGGGTCTGAAAGTCTTCTCGATTTGATTTCAAAATAAAAGTAAACTAAACTACTTGGTGCTTTTGACAAAAAGAAAATAAATAGCACGGGTATAGGACTAGACTTTGGGACAAGGCATCATCTTAGTTAACTACTGTTGTCACATATTTAATCAATAATTGGAATAATAATATTTCTGTCAAAAATATTTCATTAACCTATCCTCTCTCAAGGAAACATTAATGTGTTCTAAAACGTTTGGCTTAATTAATTTTATATCCTCATAGACAAGACAAAAACTAATTTCCAATACTTAATTAATTTTTCTCTCCACATAATTAATTAATTTAACAATATAAATAATTCTAGAACAATTATTCCAACTATTAAATAAACATACAGAGTATATGCCAAAATTTAGCCAGGACCCTAATCCGGGTCCTAACTCCTAACCCATACTAGATATTAATAGTGCATAAAATAGAAGAATATTTTATTAGAATTGCAAGTATTAAAACTTACATCAGAGAGCAGAGTCGGAGCCACTTTGGACAACCGGAACAAAACTAAATTAAAATATTAAAATATAACTGAGAAAAGAGCGGAAAAAGGAGTTTCGGGCCTTAAAGACCCGGAGAGGTGGATGATTTGAATGGAGGGGAGAAGGCCTCCTTTTATTGGAGAAATTTTCGGTCCAGGCCTCCGACAGGCGTGGGCCTGAGGTCCAGGCGCCCGCCTGGGCTGGGTGCTGCACAGTCAGGCAAACCAATTTCCCTCTTTGTTATTTTCTTTGTTTTTGTTTTTTTTATGCTTATTGATGATTGGTGAAGATGATGGCTGTAAAAGTAGCCACCGTTGCTGCCACTCTCCATTCTTTTCTTTCGTTGGTGCTCCAGTTGGCCGGCCAGCCAGGTCGCGCCACGTGGCAGCGCCTGGTTGGCTGGATTTTGATCCGGTCCGAAATTTTTTTTCTAAAAATACTATCTTGCTCAAAATTGTATTTTGAACAACTTTTTCTTCTGTGCCGACTTCAAATTCCGAACAAATTTGGGTCAAACGAATTAATTTTGAATCAAAGCAATATTTTTAACTTTTTCTTTCCAAACAATTTCTTTTTGGTGTTTTTTCAATCCTATTGACCTTAAATATTTTGACGGTGCGCATCACCACATTTTAATCACTCATGGATTTTCACCATCTTTTGCCTCTTTGTTGCGTTGCATTCCATTTGCACAATCTTTTACACTTTTGTACCACTTTTGATTCAATTTTTATTCTTTTTACAACAGGACATAATTTTTGTGCATTTTTACAATTATAAATAAAAAAACTTATAAAAACCATTGAGAAATTGATTTGTTTAATCCAAAATTGGACAATAACATATTAAATATAGAGAAGATAAGTGAATACAAAACGAACATATCACCTACCAATCTTGGGCCGGCCTTCTCTAGCACCGAGACCTAAGCATCGTCCACCTCACAACGACCAGCTTAGAGCCAGAGATCCATGGCAGGATCAAACCCGTAGAGGATGCAAAATCAGAACCAAGGGAAAAACCATCAGCAAGGACGTACATCTGCATGCACGTATGCCATTGAAGGGCGTACTGAGGAAAACCGTGATGTCATTCTAGGTATGTTCTCACTATTTAATACTTATATGCTTGCTTTAGTTTATCCACACTCTACATTGTCGTACATTTGCATTCCTATACCTGAGAAATCAGATATCCAACGAGGCGATATATAGTATCCTATGATAGTGTCCAACCCTTTAGGGCATAGTATGTGACTTCATCACGTGTTTCGTAACAGTCCGCCGATGGTTAAGGGACAGCTATTGTCTGCTAACCTAATAGAGTTACCATACAAGAAGTTTGATCTTATCCTTGGTATGGATTGGCTAACCGACCACCAGGCAATAATTGACTATAGATTACGCAAGGTGTGACTGAAGATCGATGATGGTAGTGTTGTAGGAAGTCAAACGGGAGCTGTTTTTTAAACTGCCCGAGTTTATGTCGTTTTTGCAAGCCAAGTGCCTTATCCACAAGAAGTGCGAGGTCTTTCTCTGTAATGTTACACCCGAAAGAAAACCCAAGAGCAGAAGGACATCCCCACAGTGTGTGAATTCCCCGATGTATTTTCTAACGACCTTCCTGGCTTGCGACCGCTGAGGGAGGTGGAATTCTCTATTGACCTAGTTCCAGGAACAGAACCAATTTGAGCGACACCTTATCGCATGGCACCCGTAGAAATGAAAGAACTGAAGGCTCAACTCTAGGAGTTGCTGGGTAAGGGTTTCATTCTGGCCAAGTATGTCCCCGTAAGGAGCAGTGGTAATCTTAGTTTTTCGGGTAGTAAACCTTCTCAGGAAAGGGTTAGTTTTCTCTCCGAGTGTCGTGTCTCTCGAGGAGTAGACGAAGGGAATTAGGTAATATCTCTAACTAGGCAAAGGTTAGGATAAGTTTATGAAAGTCTTCTCGGAATAAAATGGAAGAAAGCAGAGTAACAATAATAAATAAATTTCGCATAGTATAAGTGTATATCTAGACCTAGGGTCAGGGCGTCATTTGACTCTACTTTATCATATTTAATTAACAATTAAAATGAAAACATTTCTGTTATTACTTACCTATTTCTAGGATTCGTAATTACTCTATTGACTTGAATATGACAGCCTTATGGTGTATAATATTTTCTCAATAAATACTTAATTAAATCTTTCAATATTAATTAACCAATTAAGGCAAAAACATTTTCAGAATAGTCATTACAACATTAACTAAACATTCAAAGTAAATAATCAAACTAGCCCGGACCCAGAGGTCCGGACCCTTAACTCATACTATGAAAAATGATTAAAATAGCATTGTATTAAATTAAAGGAACTTACAACTTTCGTAAAAAGCGTAAAAGGATAGTTCTGAAGCAGGAATTCTCCAAAAAATATTACGAAACTACTACTACACTATTCTAAAAGTTGAAAGGGAGATAACAGCTTAAAATCCCGAATTTGGGAGTGTATTGGATGGATGAAATGAGATGAATCGCGCTGCATTTATAGGAACGGAGTTGAGGCGTCCAAGTCAAAGCGTCCAAGTCCAAGCGTCCAGATCTGGACGCCTGATGAGCTGTCCCAGCCAACTAGATTCAGCCACGTGTCACTCTTGGAGTGCAGTATATGCCAAGTGTCCGACCCTGAAGCGTCCAACTTGGCCAAGCGTCCAAGTTGGACGCCTCAAGCCCTTGGTCCGTTGGCCTTCGCGTCTGGTACAAGATTTTGGTCCGATTTTACTCCTTTTTGGGCCCGAACGCTGTTTTTGACCTCCTGGAACTTCGTTCATGCCTGAATCGTGATCCTTAGATAATTTATCCCCTTTATCTCAAGGATTTGATCATAAAATGGATGATTTCTGATGATTTCATGTGGAATCCTTTTTTATGACTCTTAGAACAAAAGTGAGAGTTTTACATATTGAAAGCACATTTTATGAGATGATTAAGTACTGTTTACGTGCAATAACGTTTAGAATATGATGTAAATGATAAGAACGAAATGGGCTTATCAAATTCCTCACACTTAAACGTCGCTTGCCCTCAAGCAACAAATTGAATAATTACAAGTACGGAGGAAAATTAGTAATTACAGAGGAAAAGTTTAAGCTATATATTATTAGCGGAAGTATAAATAAGATAGTCATCAACCTTTTTGTTAAGAAGAAATGAACCTCTAAATTCTCACCCATATTGTTCGAAGTTTTAAAACTTTTCGTCAAACTAATATTTCTATACCAACCTAAACAACCGAAACTTTCCAAAATTTTCTTGGGATAATTACAATTCTAAGAGTAACCTAAGATCAAAAAATTTTTATAGCTAGAGTTGAAAACATGTTTTTGCGAAAGTATTTGTCAAAGTGTATGGGTTTTAATAACTTTATTTTATGTGCTGAAGGGCTGTCCTTTCTCTTACAGAAGGCGGAACAGAGGGAATTAGTGCATGGTATTCAAGTGTCAAGTGGTGCTCCTCTCATCAATCACCTGCTCTTTGCCGATGATAGTCTCATTCTCTTCAAAGCCACAATGGAGGAAGCAGGAGTGGTGCTTTGGATCCTCTCGGAGTATGAGCGTCTTTCAGGCCAGGTTATTAATTTTCATAAATCTAGTATTTGTTTTAGCAAGAATACTCATCTTCACGCCTGGATCTGGCTCACAAGCTTTTTTGGGTGGTTGAAGCGGAGGATTTTGGGAAGTATCTAGGGCTGCCTACCTTCATTGGGCGTAACAAAACAACTGTTTTTTCATATATTTTGGACAAGATCCATCAAAGACTTTCACTATGGAAGAGGAAGACGCTTTCTAAGGCGGGGAAGGAGGTTTTACTTAAGACGGTAGCTCATGCGATGCCTCAATTTGCTATGAGTGTATTCCTTCTCCCCCAATCTACTTGTTCGGATATTGAGAGGTTGATGAACGGATTTTGGTGGGATGGTAAGGGCATTAATAATCATGGTATTTGATGGATGTCTTGGGAACGGATGACTTACCCAAAGAAGTTTGGGGGTTTGGGCTTTCAGAATATCCGGATGTTCAATGTTGCTATGTTGGGTAAACAAGGCTGGCGCTTCCTGACCAACCCCAGCTCGCTTGTTGCAAGAGTTTTCAAGGCTAGGTACTTTCCTAATAACTCTTTTTTGGAGGCCGAGTTGGGGATACGACCCAGTTACTGTTGGAAAAGCATTCTTTCAGCCCAGGATGTTCTACGCGGCGGTATCCGACGTCGTATCTGTGATGGACAGGAAACACATCTTTGGGGTACTCCCTGGCTCCTTGAAGAAGTTAATCCTTACCCAAGCATGGCCAGACGTGTGGAGAATGAAGACCCCTTAGTGGCTGACTTTATTGACTTTGATTTGCACTCTTGGAATATAGCAAAGCTGGAACAATACTTTGAGGCCGATGAAGTGCTGCAAATTCGCAGGGTCCCTGTCAATACTAGAAGCTGTGATGGATGGTTCTGGCTCGGGGACTTCCGCAGGGCTTATACGGTGAAAAGTGCTTACACACGCTTGATGGGGGGGCTTCTCTCGTGTCCTCCTTTTCAAGCTAGGGAAGATTTTGGCGGATTCCGGTGGCCCCAAAAGTTCTTGTTTTCTTGTGGAGGGCCATTCGAGGTATCTTGCCCACGCAGGATGCTCTCATTTCTAAGATAGTGGAGGTGGATGGGGGCTGCCCTCTCTATGGAGGAGATCTTGAAACAATTGATCATATTTTCTTGTTTTGTTCTTTTGCAGATTCAGTTTGGAGGCTCATGGGCAAAGGAGGGAATAGAGCCTCATTAATCTCTTTCCAGAATTGGTTCCAAGATCGGTGCCAGAACGACACTCTGATGGAGCTGCGTACCATTGCTTGGACTTGTTGGGAAATTTGGAAAGCGCAAAACATAGCCACTTGGGATCATAAGACACTGCTTCTAGGAGAGCTTAAGAAATTGGTGCTGTCCATGGAAGCTCAATGGTCGAACAAGGCTGATGCGGAGCGGGAACATACTTCACAGCGGCACGATGTTAGTTTGCGGGCAGAGGCACACAGGTGTTTCTTTGATGCTGCGACATCAGGTTTGGAGGATTCCTTCTCTTTCGGTTGTGTCCTTTTTTATCCAGGGGGCGTATATGTGGCAGCGGCAAATGGAAGAAAACTTGGGCCTCTAGATCCTCTTTTGGCGGAAGCTCTTGTTTGCAAAGAAAACGTTGGCTTGGTTGAGGACTCGAGGTATTCGCAACGTTGAGATTTTTTATGACTGTGAGGTTTTGGTGGGGGCTATCAAGAAAGGAAGGGCCTTTGAGTGCTACTCTTATCTAGGCTCCATCCTTGACGACTGTGCTGATTTATTATCTTCGTTTACATCTATTGATTTTCATTTTATTCGTAGGAATCGTAATTGTATTGCCTATACCCTTGCGCGGTGTGCTACGTCCCATATGGTCTCATGGAGCCGTACACCACCAAGTTGTATTGCACATTTGATTTCTTATGAATGAAGTTTTTCTTGTTATCAAAAAAAAGATTTACATACAAAATAAATAACACATCAAATTTACAAAGGAATTGAACAATGTGGATGAAGATTGATATGGGCACTTCTTTTTTTTACACATGGGCTGACCTTGAGATTGAATTATTGGTCTGGTTACTGGGGGCATTTCATTTTGTGAACTAGGGCACCACATTTAACAACCCAAAAAATATATTTTTTTGATATAAAACAATGACATTGTATTGGGGTGCCCCCCAAGATCTGCCCGTGGGAGGAAAACATGAAGAAAGTACTAAAACAAGAACTCCATATTTTCTATCTCCAAAATAGAAGTACAATGCCTACAATGCAAATATATAGTACCAAAAAATACAATGAAATGCCACTACACTGTCATAATGTCAGAGTGCAAATTCTTATTTTGGTGATAAAAACATAAAAGTCTTATTTTGTGGATAAATGTTACTCCCTCCGCTCTTAAAACATTTTCTGTTTTGACTTTTTTTCAAAGAGTGAAATTCTCTGACCACATATTAAACATAATCTAAATAAATAAATATTATAAAAAATTGATATATCAAAACTATATCCCAAGAAGCCAATTGCATTAAATATATATTATAATTAAATAGACTTTTTTCAAAGTTTGTAGTCAAAGAGTGTCACTATTTGACCAAAATCAAAATTGGGAAATGTTTTTAGGACCACAGAGTATGTTTTACTCCGATTTAGGGTGATTTCTTGAAGCAGAGAAAGGCGCACAATAAAAAAAAGAAACTTCTCGTCCTGGCTCCAATCGCCAACATTCCCCCATGAAAAAAAGACTCAGCAAACAAACTCTCAAGCTTGTTCGTTATGCAATAAAGGTCTGTCTCCCTACTTCTAACGGTTATCCTCACAAAACCGCTTCCGCCGACTCCATTCTAGTACTTGTGTTCCAAGTTGTCCGCATTACGTATTATCAGGTTGCATGAGATATTAGAAATAGTAGGGATAACATGAAAGAAATATTATTGAATACTTTCATTCTAGTGCTTCTATGATTATTATTCTAATTTAATTTCCTCAAAAAAAGAATTCTATCTTGTATTTCATATATATAAGGATGCAACTTCATTGAGAATATCGTTTTTCTTCCGATGCTCACGTTTAAATTTGAGTAAAGTACTCTCTCGACTCCCCGGCCAACTTTTAAAATGTTGTCTTTTTCTTCTTTTTTTCTTCAATTAAGTACGAAATACTCCATAATTAATTAAGACTTTAAGAATTATCACTTCGTATTACAATTAGTTTTCTTAAAAAGGGGCCGCATAAGAAGTTTTGTACTTTATTTAATTTCAAATGGACAGGTATATTGAGTATGAACGGTGCACCTAATGAATGACAATATTATAAACAGGTAGAGCATTATTTATTGTAAAGTTGTATTATGTTATTATATTTTTTCATTTAGGACTACTCGCCTAATCCTGAACTAGGAGTTCGCCTAGCCGACTAGGCGTCCTAGTGGTGCGTCGGCACCGCACCTCGCCTTGGCGAAGTGATAACTATGATCTTGCATTCAATCTTATCAAGTCTAAAGGTACGGTTGAAGCAAACTCAAAGCATTAAAGCTAGAATAACCCCAAATGGATGACCACAAGCATGACCTCATGCTTTGCACAAACCACACCGTATATACAATGAAGTTCTGTGTGGTCTGTGCAAAGCATGGTGACCCGAACCATGACCTCATGCTTTGCACAAACCACACCGTACATACAATAAAGTTCTGTGTGGTCTGTGCAAACCATGGGTCATGGTTCGGGTCACCCATTTGGGAATACCCTAACACAACCCAATTCAGAGACACAAGTTTGTTTCCAAAAGATGTGAAAGTTAATTGACATTGCTTTGGCTAATAGGCATTCTGGTTTAGTATAACCATTCCCCCGGCCATGATGAAGGCTTATGTACAACTTCTGGAAGGTCAATTTATTGAAACCAATTTACAGGTGAAATGATTAGGAACGTAACTACATGAAATGGATATGTACAAAGGATATAGTTCCTGATCAGATGAGATGATAATGATGTGCCCCTTTCACTCAGATTTATGTTCTTCCTTTCTATGCAATAAGTAGAGGGTTCCCCTTTCATTCACTGATGTCAAAGTACTTTGGATCAGATGGATACTGATATTCCACGTGTAACTGCAAAAAAAAAGAAAAAAAACTATCTCAATTAGAATAACACTAGAGGGTTTCAAGATGTTTGGATGGGCAATCCATGAAAATATAAGCCACGCATGTTTTTGTTGTGTTTATGCATTTTACATGTTAAAAAGAACTACGATTAATAACTTTTTGATGGGCTGATACATCATTTGCTTCTTTTCCTGCTTTTTCAGAAGGTGTCATTATTCCAAATGAAATTGGCAGCTTACTAAAACAACCGTCTTAAATCTAAACGAGGCCTCAACCCTGATTTGGTGAGACAATAACTAAATAAAAATAAAATTGTATCCACAAAAAATGATATCAAAACAATCGCTAAATAGATATTGACGCACGAATATATATATATATATATA